AAAATCGTTCCTCTGGAATTTTATCACACTTTCATACGCACTCGCGGACAACGACTCGAAAGCGGTTTGATCGAGGTGAATAATAATATGCGACTACTGCGTTTTTCGACTAAAGGCGTCTTTGCAGCTCAGTGCTCATAAACTACAGCGAAACTCGAACCGTGATTCATTAATAAGTACCTATTCTAAAAATGTAAATAGTTAAACCACGTGGTTAACATTAATTTTCTGTTTTATACCTTAAGAGTTAAGCTAGGTTTCCAGTACACACCCATTCACTTCAACCTATATCCAGCTTATACTGTGTAGTTTAGTTTAGTAGAGTTGTAAAAGCCTCTTGTCGCCACCGCTCCATCATTCATCTATGTATAGATATAATATTCACAGGTTTTTCGTATCTACTAGGACGCCTCTACGACCATTATTTACAAAGTATTTTAATTGCACATAATCCGAATAGAAACTCGATAAAATATAGTTGCGTGATCACTACGTCTATAATAAATCCAATAAAAAATATTTTTGATTTCAGCTTCAGTAATAAACTCCAAAATTTTGAATAAATAACTATACGCTGAAGTCTCTCCCTCGAATTGTTTCCAAATTAAAACATTTCGATCACACCTATAATTTCTTATTACATTGTAATAGTAATACATTGCACTTTATTAGGTAATATTGATTATTGTTACCTATAGCATAAACAAATTATAACGTTTGCCTAAAAATAAATAGTTATTTTGTCACTATTGTGCAGGAACCAAGCCCGGATTAAGGATCAATTGGGCCCCGGGATACCATACACTTAGTGAGCCCCTTTCAACTTAAACTTCAAAATAATTGTATTATTACATATTAACGACTTTATATTATTGTATAATTTTTTACTAAACGAAAAATATACAGGTGTATCTTATGTCATTTTACGCGGTTTTTTTTAACAATTATGGATCGATCGTCGATGATATCGAATTTCGTTAAAACAAAAAAGATACGTCTTTCTTTATTTTTAATAGGCAATTTTTTTATAACATTTTCAAAATTTTTAAACACTCAGTTGTACCAGTTTAGTTTTTTTCTGAATATTTTAACAGTATAATGATCAATTTTGGTTCGCTAGGTTATTAACTATGGTCCTTTAAAGTTTAGTATCTATAATATGCATTAATATAACTTTTAACTGAAATACCTAATTTACGAGAGTTAAATATTTTTTCTTATAACTACCTTTTTATATATTTAAAATTTAAAAGTTAATTAGTTAAATCGGTAATCTAAAATGTTCAAAAAACACAAAACAAAATTGTTGGCAAACATGTTCATTATTAATTATAGTAATTTTTCGTGATATAAAATTGAGAACAATTTACCTACTTTACCTACATACTTAAATATATTTTTTTTTTTTTAAACTATTGGATGAGTTAAAAAAATATATTTTGGGGATAAAGATGGGCCCCCGGACCGTGACTCTCTCGCCCCCCCCCCTTTAACCTAGGCTTGGCAGGAACACTGCACGGTATAATAAGGTATTTATTTTTTATCATAATTCGTTACATAAGTCGCTAGAGTACATTCCAACGTTATATTTTCTCAAAAATAATAATTATTAACTTACCTATATAATATATACTATTAATATGTATTATGTACATAATTTATCAGATTATATTATTATATACTTGTATTGTGGTGTAATTTAACATATTCTATAAATGTTGACCACGTTCAAGTGCTCAATTGAAACTTGAATGTAAATACATTTACACACATTATTTAATACTACCTATATTCATAGATTATACATTGAATAAGGTACATTAAATAATACAAAATTTAAAGGTTTCCGATGAAAATTATGTTCACGAATTTTTTTTAGTAAAATGTATAGTTGCCGGTTTTATTCTGAAAATAATTTTTGAGCACAGCGTGACGCCCAGAGGCATATAAAAGGTACATGCACTATTATTGTGCTTTGTTATTGTTTTTTGTTTTTGTTTTGTTTTTATGATTTTTTATGCTTCTGAAAGTTTTGGTTGCATACAACCTGCGCACTTATGATTTCGACTTAAAAAAGATCGATATACGAAAACCGCGTACTTTATCGGTTCATTATAAGTACCTATATAGGAACCTACCACACCATATTTTTAATTTACAAACCTATAGATGTATTATGAACGTTAAAAACTTACACCAAGTTTACCTAAAAGTTTGATTGAAACACTAAATTTCTTTTAAAATTGTGATATTCTTATTTTTTGTCACCCAGAACGAACAAAGAAAATGTCTACATAGAAGATGAAAATATTAAATTCGTATATAATTATTGTGAAAAGTACCTACTTAACTGACGGTAATAGCTATAATATAGTGCGTGTGACTACTGGCCACAACAATAATCTTAAAAAGTGTGCGGTTTTAATCTACAAAATGTTGTAACTTTTAACCAACTTTCTAAGTTTTTGAATTTAACGGATAATTGTGTGTATAAAACATTTTTTTATTATATTAAATGTTGTTACTTTAGGTTAAATATAAATAACTATACATTTTAATAATACCAACAATAAAAAAAAATAAACTACATTACCGTGTACACTGATCGGTACCTACAATAAAGATTAGTTTGTATACCAATTGAAATACACACATATATTTATGTATAGGTACCTACATCTTAACAATAATAATAATAATGTTATAATACCAGTGACGTGGTACTTCGAATATAACAAAATGGTCGGAGGTGGCGGGGGAGAAGTATATTATATGTCGCGCTGTGGCCAGCGTATGTGCGTGTACGCGCGCGCGACGCTCGAGCGGGACATAGCGCGCGAGCGGGGGCCATATTGAGCTTTCGCGCGAGTGTACGCTGGCGCGCGGGCCGCGGTGCGAACTTCGCGCCGATCAATGCGCTCCGGGCGCCAACTCACCCACCCTCACCGCCCAATCGCACCCAATCCTGGCCAACCGTCGCGCCCCGAGCGGCCGTCGCGCGTCCAGCGCACGTCAGTCAGCCCCTTGGCAACCGCACGCCGCGCGCCGTTCACCGCTCACCCGCACCCACGCCAACACCGCACGCTTTTCCGTCACACCGGCGTATACCCACCCGAGCACTTTCACCCATCCCGCTTCATATAGTCCACCCTGCCGCCTGCCACTCCCGCGCAACGGAAGTGAGTCGCGCGCCCGGCGGACCGCGTAATAAAATCTGCCGCCGCCGCCGAATTGGATTGGCGAAAAAAAAAAAGTCGCGAGTCCGATTTTATTAAAACGAATACTTCGTTACCACCGCCGCCGCCGCCGCCGCCGAGTTGCGTGCGGTGCGTGCGCTTTTCGCGTCGGTTTTCTCGCCTCTTTCGCCACCAGCTGGCTTATCTATACCACCCTTATCGCAGTTTCTATGTATTTTTGTCGAATTATCTGTACACCTATAAGTAACTATTTATTATAAGTAGGTATATTGCGATATATAGCGGCTGCCGTATGTATAGATAAAATGTACGTATTCATACCCCCACACCACAAAATAATAGTTTTGTTTTTTTTTTATCGGCGGTTATTAACCGTAATCATTTTTTCGTATAATAACTTGTTGTTGTTTTTTAATTTTTTTTTCTTTTAGAACATCGTTTTATATTATACATATTATATATACCTCCTCGTAAATTATGGGTATAGGTATTACACAACTGTGAATTCGGTATTTTAGATTTTGAACGAAGTGATGAATGTATTGATTTTACAATGAAGTGCTATTTTTTTTCTCTTTAGTATTTTTAAATAATTGTCGATAAAAAACTTTTTACTCTGTCAAAAAAGTTTACCCTTTTTAAAATTTATAATTTAATATTTATACATCTATATCCAACTTAAAATATCAACATCTGATTTATTATTTATCACAATTCACAGTAAAGCCCTTAACATTTTGAACTGTTCGAAAAGTGGTATCAAAAATATGTAAGTAAATACAGGTGTCAGAAAAATATATTAAAAATGAAATCCAAATAAATAAATAAAATTACAATCAAAAATAAAAATAAACATTGAAACGTATGAGACTCATATCGTGAGTGGACAATATTTTGGAACTAACAGATTACTTAATTTGTAGTATATAGGTAATATATTATAATGTATAGGCTTTTATGAAGTAACTGCAGTAAGATTAAATACAATTTAAATTTGTTTCATCCGTATCGCTCATTTATCAGTAATTGATTAAAAATATGCAAATTACAATTTTTGATTGTTCACTGATGAATGAAAAATTTGAATTATATAAATATTTATATTCTAACGTACTGCAGTATGATTACTGTAGTTACTTTATCAAACCCTATAACATTAGATTACCTATACTATGCCTATACCTATTATATTGAAAATTAATTCATTAGTTCCAAAATACTCACGAGTCTCATACATTACAAATATTTATTTTTATTTTTTGTTTGTAATTTTATTTATTAATGCTAGTTTTGCTTCCATTTCTAATACTTTTTTATTACCCATAGATACATATTTGTCGTACCACTTTTTGTAAAGATCAAACTGTTGAGGGTTCTGCTTCGGATATTTTAACATTACGGGTACAAACTCCACGGGGTTCAATGGATATTGTCTGATTGTTAGCACCCGTTCAGTGGTCATTACTTCAGCCACAATGTCGGCTATCATCTGCTTTGAAAAACCGCCCAACATTTTAGCCAATGGTGTAACTGGAAATCTTCGGCTGACTACTGGATAGTTCATTAGTAAGTCGTTGAGAAATAAAAATATAGTACAGTCATCAGGCACGGTGAACACTATGGTTTCGAATATGTTTGACTGAAAATATATTCATTTCGATTAAATTATTATAGTAACAATATTTGTTGGCATCATAGACTCTTAATGATGCTATTTATTATTCTGTTATATTTCCATTAAATTAATTCTTATTCAATGTTATTATTTCATTAGTCTTTTTTAAATTTCATAAATCGTTATATTATAATATAGCTGACAACAGCCATCTCATTATATTTATACTTTATTGCTTGTTATTTGGATTCATAAATTATATTTAACGGTTATTACATTTGTATAGTGATATGCTTTTAAAGATAGATCACATTGAATTTGATTACATAGACGGTAATATTAATACGTAAATTTATTTATATCTAGTCATATACCTATTATTTAATTTATATTTTGGTATCATTATGTCAGTACGTGTTTCCTTTTTCTTAACTAAATTCAACTTATATTATTATAATTATCTATTTATATTTTTCCTTTATGGCTTTATGGTTATCATATCATTAGTATACATTTCGAGTATCTATAGCAGGTTTCCGGCCGAATAATATATTTATATGCATATTATATATTCATACAGTGGCTAGAGTAACAGTAACTCATATACATAATATACTAGGTATATGCTTCGTCAATAAAAAGCAATTCACTATAAAATTATTGAAAATCTCATAACAAATAATATAGGTACCTACCGTTATATTTATAAGGGCAATAAAAATAGCTTTTGGTTTAAATGAAGACAAAATGTATTGTTTTGGAAAATATAAAGAAAGATATTGCTTTTTCATTATTTTTATAGTTTTAGAGAAATTAAAAAATAGAGTTTTTTTAAAAATAAACAGAGACGTTTTTGATAATATTTAATAATATTAATAATATTTACCTACATACAACTCGTTAATATAAAATAATGTTATTAATAATATAAATAATTACATTTAATTTTGAAACATATTACTAGATCCGTATGCGTGACATAATTAACCCCTTGCGAACGGCGAGAGCATAAACGAGTAGAACAGTGAATCATATTTATTTCGTATCATATTTTAAACAAAAAAAATTTAAAAAAAAAAACAAGAATCGTTTAATCATAATTATAATGGCCCAAGCTTTATAGGTCCGTGTAAATGCCAAGACAATGGATGTGATGGGATGTGGAGATTTTCCGTGTCATAGGTATGCGGTTAATGAATGGAATAATTATATGGTATACGCTTTATACTCTATAGTGTAACGAGCACGTTGGGTTTTACAGGTTCCTCTATATTATGAGCATTTTTTTTCCATTCTCCATCCCTCACGTCCGCCCGCCGCCGCCGTCACCGTTTGGTATATAATATCGTAAGTAAAAATCTCTGGACTTGGCACACCGCACACACGCACTGTGTTATTATTGTTCTTTTTAATTTTTTTATACACTCACACACACACACACCCAAATGTGTATTATACACGTGTATAATAATCGATAAAAAGCAAGACAACATAAAACATTGTCCTAGATGCTTGTCGCGATTCCACTGAGAACAGCCTCGTGGTTTGGTGTAAAGTGAAATATCGATGGGCGGGCCTAATACAGTATATAAGAAAAACTCACCTGAACCACGAATATCTGAGGATATCTCAAAACTGCTGTACCTATTTGGAATGATATCCCCTCTTATTCTTCTCCTTTAATATTTAATGGTAATTTTGAATATTTCGTAATATGTAGTTTGTATTATACCTACTTTAAAATACATTTAAATATTTATAGCCATATAGGTACATAGGTTTAATAGATTATATTATTATACATATAATATTAATATTTGTACATTGAAATTTTGAATCAAATCAAAGATATAAAAAAGGACACATATATTTATCAATAAATCCAAAAATAAATAATCGTTGAAAATATTTTATACTTTGTATATTATGTTTTATGTTTTTTTTGTATTATATTAAGTACTAATAATATACATTTTTTGATAAACTTGTGTTTTTTTTATATATAATTTTAACTATATAAATCTACTTAAATATTATGCAACTTATAGCCAGGGCAGCCAAAGTTAAAACTTAAATTTAAAAAAAGTGCCAATACGTAATGAAGCTATAATGTGCAATATGTGCATAGTGTATGTAGGTACCTATAAGCAATAAGCGTATGACTTTATATAAAAACAGACACAAAACTTCAAAGCCCCATAAACCTACTTTAATTATTGTTATTGAAAATTATTTTTCTAACTTTTTATTTTTTTAATATTCTAATAGTAGGTAGGTATGCATATATAAATGTCCCTAGTGATCGTTATTAATTCATTATTATAGTTTATCGTCTACTAAGTACTAACAACCGTATTAATAAATAACTTATTTTACCATGACTTTATTAATTATTATCTAAATCACTATAGGTTTATACGCACGTCCTAAATATTTTAACGGACAAAACCATAATTAATTTTTCGTGAAAGTTAAACATTATTATTAACTTAAGTCTTACATTATGTAAAAGTTATATTAAAACTTAATAATTTATTTTTTTTTTCATTCTTATAATAAATATTTTACTAATTAATTATGTAATATACCTTGTTATGGTTTGAGTATGCTATATTTTGAAATAAAATAAATTATTTACTTCATGAATCATATAATAATAATGCTATTAAATAATCATTACCAAACTTAATGTATATATTTTATGTTGGTATAGTATTAAATACATACTAATTTTGTTTTGGAAGTCAACCAAGGGCTTGTTGCTTTTCCTATAACTATTACACGATCAGATTTGCTTAATGATTTCACAATCTTCATCATCAACTTTGCCATCAAATTTGGTTTATATACTTTTAAGTCTTTTGGAATTTTCTTATAAAATGGAACATCAGCTAATTCCACTTCGATCACAACTGGTTGATATGTTCTAGCAAACTATAAAGATGTAAATGATTTTGTTTGTATTTAAAAAGACGGAGGTATCACGTAATATTATACTATAATAATATTTTTGACTAATTCATTTATTTTCGAGAGTTCTGGATAATTTTCTGACACATTCTTAAGTGTTAGTTGGATCTTCAATGATCCAGTTTCTGTACATATTGCATTTGTTAACATTGATTTTCCAGACTTTTTTGGACCAGCTATCAATAGTGATCGACTGAATTCGATATTTTTTAATGTACGAAGCTCCTCAAAAATCAAACCAATAACACAAAACTCTTTGATAATCTATACAAATATGAATTAATATACTTAGACTTATTTTAATTCATTTTTTCTTATTATTAATATTAGGTATACCTCTATTAGTATGATCAAATAATTGAAATTGAATGATTATAAATAAATATATATTGTATTTACTATTTATACTTAGTTGTTAAGTTATAAATTATAATATATTTTTTTTTTTAAGTTCAAGCCCTCGACTGCATTGGTCATTGGCCACTAATAGTGTGTTACATGGTATATAATAATATGATTGTGTAACTCATAAAACTCTTTAATTAATAACATTGAATGAAACCGCTTATGGAATATTCGGTTACCGGTTCCGGTAGGACACGAAAAATTGTTCGTAAGTGGTTAACTGTTTTAGAGGTTTTTACTTTTTAGAATTAGTGGTAATTGATTACCGGTTACCAAAATGATCTCTAAAAATGTGGTTACCAGTTATCGGTTTGGAAGCGGTTTTAATTCTTCAAGATTACCGGTAACCACTACGAAAACGGTTTTTTGCATTAATGTTTTTTTCGGAAAATTTTAGTTTTACTTTAATTTACACAAAACAAATATCCACTTTATAAAACGATTCAGGGACAAGCTAAATTAAAAAATAAATACCTATATGGCTATATTTTATCATTTGAAGCTATGGATAAATATAAACTTAAATTAAATAAGTAAATTACTCATAACCATCGATTAAAAAATAGTTCATGGAAAAGTGTTAATCAACAGCGTCAATAACAATAAAATAAAATAAATAATAATCATCTAATATGTTCTATAGTATGTCTATGAGTCAATGAAACGTACGTAATATCTACGATTGGTGCTTATTACTTATTATTGAGGCTACAGACAGTATACCATCTTTAATCGTACTTATTATTACATTACATTTATTATCTTGTAACTAAAATTATTAATCACAAAAAAATAAATATAATTTTTAGAGAGAATTCCGGTCAAGTTAAGTTAACTTACTTGACGTATATCACCTAAGCAATAGGGTGGATCAGAATAATATGGATTTTCTCTTAATACACAAGCGCTCAATGATACTTCTCCTTGAAAATCTATAAATCTAGAGGTTACTGACTTTTTAATTAGATTGTTTTTAACCAACTCTTCAAAGATTTCATTTGGATCTGGTGTTAATTTTATTTTCTGACCTTTTTTTTTTTTTTTACTTTTTTTTTGGGGGTTTTTATATTTCTTTTCTGTAATAAGTGTATAAAGTGCATATTAAAAAGTATAAAATATTTTCATAACAATTTTACTCAAATCCTTAGCATATGCCATTTTTAGAATATTTAATTCTTCCTTAATAGTTTCATCAACTATAGTTCTAAGTTCCACTTGAGCCTTTGAATAAATTTCAGATTTTATTAGATCTTCCCTAGGTTTATTTTCGATTCCACTATCTAACGCCCAATTACTATCATATTCATTAAACGTTTCTTTAAACCATTCCGTCAATTCACTTGATTCCAAAACGATGCCCACAATTTTAATTGCTGCTGTCAACTTTTCCCTAAGTTTTGCTGTTTCAAGTTCTTTTTCTTTTTCCTAAGTATATAATAAATATATTGTGTAGTTAAAGGTACTCTATGGATTAATATTTTTTTTAAACACTTTACAATTTTATTTTTTTCTGCCAGTTGTTTGATTAGATCATTTCTTTCTTTTGCTGGTTTTTTTTCAAATTCTATAATTAACAATGCAAGTATTTCAGCCATTTCTATAGTCATCCACCTTCCTGTTTGAATAATAGCCGAACCTCCAAGTGGTAATCGTTGTTTTAATGCTGACTTATAATGTACGTTCGGTATATTTAACTGTTTTAAGATAGCTGGCGATAAAACTAGATGATACAATTTAAAATATATTATGAATTATATGCATAATATAGTACCTATACCATGGTAGCAGTTATATTGGAATAATATTGTCATCTTTACTTATCGGTGGTAATCCAATCATTTTATCATTATCGTCAGAGAACATGATAGGTTTCGAATTTGGCCAAGACGGTAAATGATGACACATTTCAAAATATGTCCACACGTATGCCCTAAGCTCATCTTCGATTTCTTCTATTATTTCATATTTGTTGCGTTGGATAAAATTGTCTTCCAATTTACTTATAATTTTACGATATTCTATATCTGCTTCAGTTTGTTGTATTCGAATTGTGTCCTCTAGTTCACGATTAATATCGAAATTCATTTTTTCACTAGTCATGTACATACCTATTATAAACATTTTACATATACATTTTTATAATATATAAACTCTGGTGTAAACTATACAATTTATTATTTAATAAATATAGCTTTTTTTCGTATAATATGATACTTTAATTATACCTATCAAAAGTTGATATGAGTAAAATTAAACTTCAAAATAAATTAAGTTATATTTTTATAATTGATAAACGTGAATTATAAATTTACCAAGTTGAACTTGTCGTTTTAGTTTTCTAGCATTAACTATTGTCATTATTCGATAATGTCTCCAAAATCGTTGAATCTTAGCTGCCGCTTCTTGGCCTTTCTCTTTGCTAGGCTGTTTATACTTCCCGGAAATTATATTGCTTCTAGTTATTCTAGCAAGTATTACTAAATTAAACAAAAACTATAAATAGATTAAAAAATATTCAATAATATTAGTTGCTATAGCATAAATGTATACGCATTTACATTCATTGACAGCCACACGATCTCTTACTGCTCTGATATGTTTTTGAATGAGTTTTATAGACAATTCTCTTGAATTATCTGCACTTATTTTTTCAAATTTAATTACAGGTTGTGTATTGGAAACAAATTTATCTACATCGAAATAGGATTCGGATGATTCTTGACTGATCAATTGGCTAGTGCTAGACCTCTTTACATCGTCTATTTTAATACTTTCGTTTGGTATTTCGATTAATAAGTCATTGTTTTCTTCTATTAAAATACGGTTATTTATTTCATCAATCTTATTGTCCATATCGTCTAAAAATGATAGTCTCTCATTTCGGAAACATCGAGGTATACTTAATTCAAACTGGTCATAGGTTATTTTCATATTATTCAATTCTTCAATTATTGGTCTGTATACACCCGCATAAAAATGTAAAAATGTACAAAATAATAATATATTTTAACCAGACATACGTGTATATTGAGAAGTCTTCATTTATAAGAATTTGTTTGAGTTCAAGTATACGTCCAAAAGTGCACATTAATAATTTTTTTATAAAAATCCGTAACTGTGGTTGTATAATGTTGTTATGGCATGCCGTTAGTTCGTTACTAGTCACCATATATCTTAAAACATTTAAGGGGAAATTAATTGAATATACATGTATATTTTTATATAAGTATACCTATATATACAGGCTACCTTATATTGGTAGATTAGGTTTGTATTTCAGTAGATATCAACAAAATTTTAAAAACGTACTTTTATATTTTGTACTTAGGTATACCAATTCAATAATTCATATGAATAGTATTATATTATATATAATTACTATCCAAATATATATTATCATGATAACACTTTTTCATAAGTATGTAAAATATTATTTTATTGTTTATAACTATACATCTATAAATTATAATTGGTATTTGTAATGATTCATTATTTTTGTAAATTTTCTTTTCATAATTTAGTATAAAATATAATCAAACCATCAGAAAAAATATACTTTATATTTTTATGTATCAATAATAACATTATATTAATACATAATATTTATTGTCAAATAAGGTTGATAATATATATTATATACTATAGCTGAATATCCCAGCTTCGCCCGTTTGCATTTTTTTTTTAACAAATTCTATATATTATATATACGATGTATAATAGGTGTATCTTAGTATTAGTGTACCATAGTTCAATGACAATTTGGCGTCAGTGTGCCTATCTTTGAGAAATAATTTGGCCTAGATGGGCATTGGGCAACCACAAATCACGGATTGGATTTAGCACTTGGTATATTATTTAAAGTCGTTTAAACTATTTACTCTCTAAACTTTTCTGATATCTCTGAAAACAATCTCTGAGATTTTCGTCAAATTCAATTGAGTAGTTTTTTAGTATATAACCTATGTACACACATACATTTGGATTTAAGATATAATTTCTTTAATCGAGGCCATGAAAACGTAATGATTTTATGCATGCTTGTACCTGATCTGCCTGAGTAACCAATGGCAATCATTTTTGTACAAAAAAAATAATACTAATTTCTACTATCATTTACTATTATAATTTGCAACCCATAATGACAACCATTTATAAACAAAAAAAAGTTTCCACTTCTACCCTGAATCTTTGTTTGAGAACCTCTTTGAAATGCGAATTTTGGAAAATCCTTTCTTATTCCACAGATGCATCTAGATCATTAGAGGAACCAGTGAACCACTATTCCAAATTTCAAGCTCATTTAGCTGATCTCGTGAACTTCGCGTTGCCCGTTAAAAATACCAACTCTAATTATTATTCGAAATTTATGTTAAATTCGTCATTTAATACCCAGCGTAGTGATGTTCAAAACTTCCTGTGACAAATTCCCATGGATTTAACTCATCTTAATCTCCGTAGATATTATAAACAAAAAATATTATACATTTATTATAATTATTTATATTTTTCCTAAAAAAAAATTTGCAAAAAAAAAATAAGGGACACTTATCAATATAAAATATAGCCTATATACTAGTATATAGAACCTTGGTATAGTGTTACTGATGGAAAAAACAATTTAAAATCGGTTAAGGAGTTCCATAGCTTACCCCGAACCTACAAACAATTGTTCTTATTTATAATATATTAGTATAGATTATTAATATAATAATTATTATTATAATGAATACTATTTTTTTAATGAAAATAAGTTGATTTGTAAAAAACTTAACACATAATGTGTTATTATCAAAAAAAAAAAAATAAAATAATTTTAACAATAATAATAGGTAGGTATAGGTACCAATAATTATTAATAAAAACTTTAGTGTTAAAAAAATATTTGAGTACTATAAATAATGAATAAAATTGTATTATTACTGTCAAAATGTATTATCGATGCTATATAATATTAATATTTTATGTTCATAATTTTAAATTATAAATTCACACTCAACTGTCATGTTCGTATTATAGTATTTTTTTTTCTCGACTACCGTTTAATCGATTTGTTATTAGCACATTGGGTGGGTATTCGCGTGTGTTATCGTATACTACATATCGGACATCGGTATTATAACATTCGTCGGTTATACATACATATTATATTATTATAAACGGTTGTCATAATAATATGATAATATAATAATTGTATACGAGATTACGAGATGGCCAGACGACTGTCGGAGGTTCAGAGATTGAGACGACGATCTAAAATTTGAATAACGTTTGCGGCACTATATTATATATAGGTAGGTGTAGGTACACATCACACGCGAAATATTAATTATTCGATCTACCTGTTGGCGGGGAGACAGATCGGTACAACGGTTACCTATTGCTGTACAATGTATAATATTATCAAGACACAAGAGCACGTCGAAATAATAATAATATGCACAATATAATATTATCATAATATACCTAACGTACAGCCTTGCTGTCGTGGCGCGCACCAGGTTTCTGTCGGTGTCCGGGGCTTCTCGCACAAACTCCCGATCGTCCCTCTCGATCTGCCGCAACCGCCCGACGGCGTCCTTCCACGCGGGTCCGGTACTACAGCGGTGGTTGACGACCATACCAGGTGCGGAGGTGTCGCCAAGACAATCGAAATCGTGGCGGACGACGAAGGGTGTACGTACCTATATAGGCTAATGTTATTACGACCAACCCTAAATCGTGTATTATGTGCAGTGCGACGAGGACGGCCGAGACGGTAGACCGAAATCGAGGCGAGAGACGGCGATTAAATAATAATAATAATAATAATAATAGTGGATAGTAAAACGAGACGTATCTACGCGACCAATCGTGCGAACACAACACCTCCTACTCCGGCCGAGTGGCGATCGAAATAATACATTATATATTTTTATAATATATTAGATATGATTACAATATTGTGTAGTAATGGTAATAACAATAATGAGCACAGCGGCGACGTTGCCGTGGCAACGAAGATTCGACCACGATGACGTCCGCGCGAAAAGCTCACCACCCGACGAGGTGAAACCAGTTGTGCGGCAGCTCCCACTCCGGGACGGTTGCCACCGACCAATACGCGGCCGACAGGACTGTGTCCGTTTTTTTACGTGTGTGTAATACGAAATCATAATAAATAATAATGTATGTACAATAGTCGTGTGCGCGTGCATAATATAATATTATTATAAACAGTATGGCTGCGGCCGATCCGGTTGTCAACCGGTACATCGATCTCTGCGGTCAGGTGGAGGCTCGCTGACGCCCCCGCCGTTCTTGGGTATTGGTATACTCATTTATACGTATTCCGCAAGTTAAATTGAGAATATTTTAAAGACTTCGTTGTATTGTATAATTATTGCACATGGTTTTCTTTCCGTTTTCTAATTAAAAATACGTACCTAGGTATTCACCATTTTTACGTCTGTAAATCTGACGTAAATGTTTGCAATCTGTTCCTTATAAATTAATATTTGTAACGGTGAAATTAGTTCTATAAATGTTAAAAATAATGAAATATGAAAACAAATTCATTAATATAAAAGCTACAACTGGTGAAAAAAAGGGTTCGACTGTATACCTACCTGCCTACCTACCTATAAACAGAGTAATTCACCAACCATGCTCACCGCCTTTTTACTTCAATAAAGCAGTTGTTTAAAGTTTGATTTTTGGATTTTTTTAACCATACTTTGAGACAATATTCTAAACTCTTGAGATTTTTTGTGCTATACACAAGGACGTCTATTTTTCAAATGAGAAATCCCCTTACTACTGGAAATTATTTAACGGATAATTTTTCTGGAAAATGTTGACGTACCAAAATCAAAATTCATACGAGTGGTTTTGAACTACAGGTACCTACTAAGGATAACAAGTCCATGATAATGGGTTTAGATGATATGGAGGATATGATGAAATGAAACTTGTAGGAACTAATATTAATCTATAATAGGCCAAATCTAATACATAGGTACTAGATCCTACATTACGTCTATTTTACATTTGTGTAGTAAAACCATTTTTTAGGACTATTAAGTTTCGTATAAACATTTCAATAACTCAGAAACTACTCGTTCAATGTTTTAATTAGGTACATCAACGATTTTAAAAAAAAAACCACTAAATGATTTATAATAAAAAAGAAGGGTTCTCATTTTAAAAATAGAAGTTTGTATCTCCGAATACTTTAAACCTCAAGAATTTGGGAAATGTTCTTTAATAGCACAGAATATTTAGCAATTCTAAAAATTAGAAATTAAATAAAATCATTACTAAAGGAAAAATGTGGGTGAGCATGCTTATAGTGAATCACACTGTAAAGTCATTAAGTAGATTACTGTATAAATGGATATATTCAACTTGAATTCCATCTTAAATGGTATATGAAAAACAATTATTAGCGAATAATACTGTTGAATCAGTCTCTGATTGTGAGTACCTACTGTGAGTACTAGCTGTTAATAACATTACCTAGATTGGTTAAACTAGATTTTCAAACAAATCGAATATATTGATAAGTCAGCACTTGCACTGTCTGTGAATAAGATTGTGGTATAAATAGCCACAAATTAGTTCAAATATTTTGAAAATGATAATATAACTATAAATAAGTGGACATTTTAAGTCTCTACAACAAACTACTAAAATAATAACTATATTATTATTATTATTATTTTTAGGGGTAACTAAAATCGCTTGATGAAAAATCGTCATTTTTCGTTTTAATATTCAATGACTTCAAAATTATATTTTCAGACAACCATAAACAATTACTGTGGCCACTTTACTCTATATTTTTTCTTTAATTCCAGTAAGAATAATATTTACGGCTATCTTGCATTACATTTTCTAGCTTTATGCATGTTTAAACTGAACATTTTATGGTTTATAGCAATATACATAAAATTATTTCCAAACTTTTGTAATTTAGACAAATTATTTGTTAGAAAAACCATATTATTATCTGCCATAAAAATACTATTATATATATACGCTTGTAAATAATATATTATTGTTTCTTAATAAATATTCTATATTATTTATTAATTATTATACGAACGTACACCTAACATAATATATTATAATTCTTGAATTCGATAAAATGACAATTAAAATGTTTTTTATAGAATTAGATATAAAAAATATTATTAATTAATTACTATTGCAACTTCGCTAACATGAAATTTATTATTTGCTCAAAGGGTTCTCCTATATATAGTAGTTGATAGATAACTTAAGTCACGATTTTATAATAAATTTATTAGCTTAAGCTTAAAAATTATTTTAATACGTTTTTCGTGCAGATTCATAATTAGATAAATTATTATTTTATTAACTTTTACAATGAGAATACAAATGTAAAACGTATTTGAGAAAATATTAAAAATTATATCATGCAGGTTTCGAGGTGATTTGGCGATCTAAACATTAGAAATAGGTACAATTAAATTGATTTCATACGGTTAGATGAAATCGTATTTTACAGCTATAGCTCCCGTGAAAAATAAAATTCCAAACAAAGTACGAACAGAGATATACGAACGATATCGCGAGTGGTATAACATAATAGGCGTATATATCATATCCATACAATACAATACATACATTCACATATATTTTATCCATACAATTATATAATATATATTATACTCCCGTACATGCGTATATTCTGTATACGTATATATATATACATAAATATGAAGTTGAAGTATATGCACCTATACTGTATAATATGTGGTGAATTTACAGCGGCAAGTAGAGTGCAAATATCTTTAAAACAATAATTTCACGCTCTCGACTGCCACTACCTATATATAATATAAATATATATATATGTATATATAGCCAACACGCACTGGTTTGACGCCGCAGGGTAAACCACCCGAGTTAATGCAAATTCGCCGTTTTCCATTCGAACAACGGCGGTAATGGTGAATGCCGTTTTGAAATGTTTCTCCACCGTCGTTGCAAATGTCGTAGTTCCCATGCTCGCGGGCCCGTAATCTACAGCATAGCAGCACGTTACGAAAAACTTCAGTCGGCATTTTCTTAAAAAATACATCGTATCGGCTAATGCTTTTGCTCGGTTCGCGTTTAAGACATTGTTGGAAAACATAGTTGAACGCAATTATTTCCCAAATCATAACTCGTCAGTCATCAGAGTTGTATAATATAATATTATGTAACATTAGGATTTAATATTTTTATTCAAAATTCTAAACAGTCAAATTTTAATTAGCTCGAGTTGTGCACTACGTTATATAACGTAATTATTGTCGGTGTTACCATCAAAACTTGCATTAACATTGAAATACATTAATTATCGGACAAAGTTTAAGTAGTTACGTTAACGCTGAAGGCCTAAATGTGATGTATAAAATAAAAATAAATTACTCCTACAAAGCTTGTTAACAATGAAAAATACAATAGTTATTTAATGATTTTACTTTTTTGTGTAAATGCTATGGTACGTATTATATATATATAACACCTACCAACAAAACAATAAAGCATAAACACGAGTTATTATATATTATATACTTATACTTGAGAATAGTTTACATTAAATATCAACAATTATACGTTATAGTCACACAACCATGAGCCTAAAATTGCAAAATACCTAAGTGTAGATTCTACGTGTCAAGTAAAGTTAATCAAAATAAACTGTACAAAATTAAAACTGTTAATATTGTTGTAGATAGTAAATTAAATAATTATCCATATTTTAAACAATACTAATTATACAAATTCATTCAAAAACAGAAAACATTTTAAAGATTTAACTAAATTATTTTTAGAAGTGAAAATCTTTGGCTGTCATCCTACGGAAGTAGCATCATCATAGTCAAAAATGTTCGGTGAGTTTGTACATAATATTATATTTAATGATGAAAACATAAAAAAAGTTTCCAAACGTCAAATTAAGAAGTTAAATTGAAAGTAAAAACGATGTACATACATAGGTATTATATTGGAAAGAGTTTTTTTTTTTAATTTTAAGGATGTATCCTACTTCTATAGTAAATTATCAGTATCAATAAACCTATAGGAAGGCGGCAATAGGTGCTCAATTGGGGAGACAGGTGAATTCCAGAAGGCGTGTCGTCTATATATACGGGAATGATAATTCTATTGTGCGAGACCTACAGAGGATGTGGAAATATATGTTCATACACATTACACACACACACACACAACATATTATATATATATATATACAACGATCCCGTCTATTAATTATTGTTTATTCATAATCAAACAAAGCCGCTTTTTATCCATGTACATTGTACATGTATATACACTATAGGGCATTTGGGCCACGCAAATGATACGTTTGGCGGTCGCGCGGAGACAGTCAGATCGTACTGGGGGTGGAACCGACCCTTATAGACGGGCAATGATGATGATAGTCTTAAGTAAATGGCGTCAATTTTTTGGTCAGCGAGCCCCGACCTGCTATACACACCCAACATTAGTGCGTTTTATATAACGCCCATAAAGATAAAAAAAAAATAAATAAAAAACATTGCTCTATAACCCCGACGTGCTTATGTCGTTATGTGACTTTATACCTGTAATTACTGATACACAC